GAGTTAAGAGAAGAGAAGGGGGGGGGGGGGGGGGAAAGGCGCTCGATCACACCATATGATCTGTAACTCATCCAGATAAAACTCCTCCTCCTCTACCCACTAACAGACCTCTTAATGACAAGGAAATCATGGTTATTCTGAAACAGACTGCACTATTGTTATCTGTTTCAAATTACTTTTGCCATATTGTTATGAAACACCGAAAATGATGCAATCTGCAGAAATACTCAGGCGTATTAACTTTTTTAACTGCGGCTCTGATAGGAACTAATGGAGCAGCAGATGAAAGGAAAAAATTCTCCCTGTCTTAAGCAAGTCAAAACCCACTTTTGGGCACTAAACACAGGAGATAATAAATTCGTCAGACAGTAAGAGAGAAGAATTACAATTTCAATTACTCTTTCCTTAAAAGAAATCAACTTTTTGGAAAGGGTTTTTAAAATTTTATGTTTCTGGCACTTGCAAGGATAGACAAAACAAACCTTTTTTTCAAAAACTAAATAAGGCAAAGGAAATCTGCACTCTAATACTGCAAAGCCTGTAAGAGGAGCGTGTCCAATCTGGAAGGGAGCACACATCCTGGTGTCTGCCAGGAGGCAGGTCAGCACCCGCACGAGAGGAGCCGAGACGGATGCTCGAACGTGGATTTTGAAGAAGACCAGGCAGTTGCTGAACGCTAGCGAGCACTCACGCCGCAGACCTTGGTAAAAAGCCCTGGATGTTGGATAACGCATTTCTCATTCTTTCAAGAGCATCGCGAGACAGAGCAGAGTTTCATGACCGACTCACTCCCACCCTGCCCATCTGTCCGCATCCCTGCAGCGGCACTTTGGTCCAGGGCTGCATCCCTCTGGCCGCAGCATTATCCACCAGCATCCCACTGAGCGGCGTCCTCTTCGTGGGGTGGCCCCAAAAGGCTGGTCGTGATTTGGGATTCCCCTATGAAGCAGGCCATGGAAAGAAGAGGGGTCAGGGATCAGACGTCACAGGGATCCCATCTGTGGCAGGCGCTGTGCTGCTGTAAGGGGGAAGCTCAGCAAGGCAGGCAACAAATCTTCACAATCCTGGTCCTAAAACACCTCGATATTCACCCGCCTGACTTAATCCTTGGGTCAAATCTTCCACAGTACCAACACAAGTTTTATTCTCCAGCCTGGGCAGCCCCGACTCTCCTAACACTTCCCTATTTAAATCATTCAGATCTTCATGCAACAGTCTGGAGAGAGACATTTCCTCGCAGAGCAATACCGTGCTTTGGGATGACATGACAGAGCTGAATTTTATATCCAAACAAACCACTGTACAGCTGCAGCCTGTGTTTGAGCTCAAAGACATAACCGTCTAATAAACAGCTGAAGAATCACGAAGGAGGAACGAGAAGGGCTTGGAAAGCTGTCAGACATACGGATACATGGAGCGCATGTTTTGAGAAAATACAAAAACACCTTGAGAGACCTCCAGCCATTTCCTGACCTTCCCTTTTCTAATATTTCTCAGAGACTCAGTGTACATTTCTCAGGAATTTCTATTGTCCAAATAACCTTCGGAAAAATGCTGAAGCTTTGGTCTGCCACAGAGCATGCCTGAACATCCTTCCAGAGGAAGTCAACTGCCCATCCTACTGCTCCCAAATGGCTACAGGAGAAACACATCCCACGCAAGAGATTAGCAACCCCTCAGATGACTTTACATCAGTTTGCAACATCTAGTTCTGCCTTTACCAAAAATAACCGCAAATCGAGATGTCTGGCTGGCTGAAGTGCTGTGGGATCTTGGACCACGCCACAGATATTTATTTAGCGTGTTATGGTAGTTGAGAGAAATATTTCTTTCTGTCAAACACTGGACATGTTGTTTCACCCTGTGAATTCCAGCATCCTGAAAACAGGCAAGGGAAACCACAAGTGGATGAAGCGGGACCAGTCCCCAAAACAGGCTGTCAAGGAGCACCTGAGCTATGACCTGCAGAAGAAAATCAGCCTGACAGAAGCAACCTCCGCTGCACGTCCCCTGCGTCCTCCAGGACGCCGGCTGCTCCCGCGCTCAGGCACTTCCCATCAGGACATGAGGTCTAATTATCTACAGATGGGTAAAACGCAAAAATATTGGGGTCTTTCATAAAGAATAACACAATTTTCAACCAAGACATCTGAAAGGGAGATACTGCTTTGGTATCACAGCTGGCTCAGCCCAGCTGCTGCCAAAGGGGGTCGTCAGAAATGACTTTCACTTCTTTGACCTCATCCAGCACTAAAGCTGGTCATGTTAGCTTAGCTTAAATTTCACTTCATGTTTTCCAGTTGCTGGTAATGAACGTGTGAATTTTACACACACACAATGAGCAATAATCTTTGCTAATTATGGTGATTCAAGCCTCCTACTCTAAAGGCAGGATAA